CCCCCCCCCCCCCCCCCTACGCCCAAATCTCAGCACACCTGCCAGAACCACCCCAAATTTTAGGAGACCACACGAAGCCAACCCGCTCAACACCCGCGTCCCCACAGGAAAACTAGAACCCAACATCCCTAAACCTTAAACCGAATCCAGAAACCATGAACCCGAAACCCTAAAAACTTGAAACCCTGAACCATGTTTTCGCGGGCCGCGCGATGGCGGGAGCCCCTTGTGGATCCTGGCCCTGGCCCGACCAGCTATGTGCTACCCTTTGGTGCAGGCTACACCTTCGGTGTAGCCTGGAATCCCACAAAGAAGCAACAAGCTCGCTGCAGGGGTCACAGACAATGTGTGCAGCCCGGAAAGGCCTGGCTTTTGGACGGTGCACGGCGGGCACCTGCTGGCGATGTGGGGGACCCGAAGGTATCGACCTTGCTGGGCCGTGGGGGTCTCGGCATCGTTGTACGCGGTAGCTTCAGCGGCTCATTGGCAGCAATCAAGCGTTCGAGTTGCCCGAGCTCGGATGCTGAGTTGCAGAGAGAAGCTCAGTTTCTGAAGAAGCTGGGCCCTCATCCGCACATCGTGCGGTTGCTATTTATACTTTCCTGAAGACTGGGACCCGGCGGGATCGGGGCAGAGCAGGCCCGAGATGGTCATGGAACTCCTCGGCCCCAACCTCGAGCAAGTCATGAAGATGAAGCAAGTGCGCACGCGCGACGTGTTGTCCGTGGCGAGTTCTATTTTCGCTGGCTTATGCCGCTGTGAGCAGTGCCTCATCGCACACACAGACGTGAAGCCTGCCAATCTCTGTGTCCGGCCCGATCAACATACTGGCGGCGACCTTCTCGTCGTTATCATTGATTTTGACGCAGCGGAGCAGCTGGAGAGCAGGCACCAGGTGTTGAACCGCCTGGGTGGCAATGTCGCTAACATGCTTCTTAGTGGGCACTTTCAATCTGGGTCGACAAATGCCCTCAAAGCGGACGTTTTATCGGCCGGTCAAGTTCTCTGCGGGCTTCGGCAGCTGCTTGCTCAAGCCCCTGACAGAATGCTCAACGACTTCATCCAACGTGTTCTGTCACCGATTGAAAGCGATCGGCCATGGGCATCGGAGGCAGTCTTCGAGCTCAGCGCAGGCTGCAGCAGCTAGCCAAAAGAAGCGAAATCTTGCCCAGCGCCGCTCGGTGTGTTCTGGACTTTATGTTCTAATCTGTAAGGTTAAGGCCCTTAAGGCTTTCGGCAGATTTACATGTTGGGCGTGAGGGCTCAGTTCGACTCCGGATTGTTTTTTCCTAGGTTTGGCAGTCCTCTGGTCCCGTGGCCCTGTGGTCTTCTCCTGGTCCCCTGGTCAACCCTCAACCCTAAGCCGTAAACCCGAAACCTTACACCCTAAACTGGTTTCCGGACCCCATGTTCGGATTGCCACTGTCTAAAGCTCAAGAGCGCACTCAACCCACATAAACACTAAACCCACAAGTTGTTTACCCATAAACCCATCCGAACGCTCGACCCCCCTCCTGCAGGCCGACACAGTTTCCCTCAGTCCGGGATCCCAAGCCTCCGGTTTGGGGCCGACGCAGCCTCTTAGTTGAGGGTTCGAAATTCCACGGTCAAGCGCACTTCAGCCCTACTCCAAACTGTTAAAGTTAGAGGTTTTCCGCTTCCAAAGTGGGTTTTTGGTTCTGAATCTTGCTTGTCTGTGTCTGTTTTCCTTCTGGCATGCCTCATACGAAACAGAACCGACATGAATACGGTTCTGAGAGAACTAGGCGAAAATTGGGTGATGGGTTCATTTTCGGGGGTTGCACGCATGAAGCTTGCAGTTGGCTCTATTATGCCGCACAGAGAGAATAAAGTCTTGTGTTTTGGCTTACTGAGTGTTAGTACTGGTATTGTAAATGTGAATAGGGCCTGATTCCAAACCCTCATTATAATAGATATGGAAGAGAAGCACTTCAATCTTGTATCGCGCGGCGGTCATCAGGGCGCTTCCAAATCACAACTTTTTCACACTAAACTAAACGAAAGCATCTTCTAAGGTGATCGAGGGACTTCGCACCGATATCGGACCCATGAGCCAAAACATGGTAGATCTTTGGGTTTGGAGCTTCGGCTTTAGGGTGTAGGACAAACTGTATTAGTCCGTAAGGCTCATGTATCTTGTTGTGCTATCTATGTTTATCTTCGTGTCTTGTGTTCTGAGTATCTAGATACGTGTACAGGTATATCTTGCAGCGCTGAGGACAGGCGCCCGGTGGTGTGATGGACTCAGCAGGTCCCGCCGCAGGCCACTGTTGACAGATGCATGTTTTCAGAATCATGACGGAACACATCAGGTTTGTGTTTGTTTGTGAATGTGCTCATATATGCGAAGCAAAGCAAAGGAGGCATGCATGTACATGTAAATGCATTTATAAATCATACATATTGACGAGTTGCACCGCGATGTCCCATGTGCTGGATGCGCTGCATAGCTGCCCTTTATCTGAATTATCCTATGGATTTCGCTACACCAGCACGCATCTCATCATGATCATCAGGCGAACCTTCTCGGGCTCCAGCCGATTGAAATCCTTAATTCGCTGTCCGTTGTGCGACAAGCCAGAACCACACTCACCCTGAAAGCTCAGGGCACGAAATCCGAAAAACTTTTGGGGTCTTAAGCAAACCCTGTGAGCCAATGAGCCCCTGAGAAAACTTTCAGCCGCCCGAAGACACTTCGTGGCAGTCCGGCAGGGGGCGCTCCGACGTCCAACAACCTTCGAGGATTCGGGAGCTGCTGGGTCGCAATTGTCGAAAGCTACTAGAATATACTCTATGACTATATACTATGACCTTGATGTGCTATATTCTACTATGAACTGCTATACTAGACTAGATTAGACTAGACCAAACTAGACTGTATCAGACTGTTCTAGACTATACTAGACCAGACCAGACTAGACTGTACTAGACTATATTAGACTAGACTAGACTATACTATGCTAGAATATACGGTCTATGGTGTTTGCAGGTTTCGGGCTTTCCAGGATGAAAGTGTGAGTGCCCCCTCCCCCCTGTCTGGAGCGAACCTGTGCTGGAGTAGAATTAGGGAGACCCCTTAAAGGGGACCCTTGTTAACCCTTTTTATGGCTCTCTTAAAGGGGACCTTATTGAGAGGGTCTGTATCCCAACAGTCCCCCTAATGCTAACTCCTAAGGTATGTTAGCCTCTGCTGCGGCAGGATCCGAGGTCGGGGGCAGGGCTCGGTTGGGGCCAAGGGCTGCAAAGGTGAGATGAAGGGATCAATATAGGGGCCCTGTAAATAATTGCCAATACTATTTGTTTGGGGGGTCCTTCTTGCAGTTATGGTATAGCCTGTTTGTTAAGGCCCCTACATTGAGTGCCTTTGCGCGCAGCTTCTACATTCTACTTGTATCTTTTGAGAGCATCGGGGGCTTCTTGGCCAGGGGGCTTGTAGGGTTCCGGGTGTGGAAGGTAACCATCAGGCGAAAGCACCCCCAATCAGTCCGAAACATCCGAAAGCTTTCGGGAAATATCCGAATCATTCTGCACAATCAACGAACACCAAGAACAAACAATTCCTGACAGAAGGTCCCCTCCACTAGGCCAACCGTAGTCTTTACCAAAGGTTCAAGATAGAGGACCAGTTTAGAAGGGTTCGCTTCGTGAACTGTGGCACTTTGAAAAAACATCGCAAACATTGGAGGTCCTTCTTCAGCATGCCGCAAGCTTCTGAATCATTCAGGAGTATCACGCCGAAAACACCGAGCCCTCTGTGATATGATCTTCCTCTACATAATGTGTTGTTTTGTTGTCGCGATCCTCTTCGCAAAAAACAGTTTCGCTGCGTGCGGGAGATCAGAGCTTTCAAACTATGCTCACCACAAAGTTGCGGGTGCTTCCCTGCATGATGCACCTCAATGGCCTGCTTCGATCTCTGGCAAAGCAGCGACACCTTGTCGCGACGTGCTTCAAGTGCTTGTGCTGCCAGTGCTATCTGACAGAACGTGGTCACTTGGAGGTTCATGGGTAGTTATAAGTGTGGTTATAAGTTCCCTAATATGGGTCATAAGTGTAGTTACCCTACTTATAACCCCAATTACAACTACCCATGAACCTCCAAGCATACGTGACATGATGCATGCCCATCTCGATCACATCTTTCCGAACAACTCTTCAGCCCTCCACTCGAATGCAGAGCACCACGCTGAACTCCCCGTGGACGTGCCAGGAGGGAGCTGCCGGTGTGCAGGGCTGGGCAGGCCTCTTTCCACCAGAGTCTCCACAATTTTCTCTTTGTTACAGTAGCCTTATAGAACCCTTTCTCGGGGAGTCTCAGGTGGGGGTTTCCGACAATAGGGGACCCTAATATAGTACCCTAAATAGTAGGAGCCCTATTATAAGGACCCCAAAATAAGGTACCCCCAATTTTCGGAAACTCCCAGGTTTGGACATGTTTCAACTGACCTTTGCTGTCAGGCTTCAGGCCTTAACGGCCTGCTTCACTCAATGCCTGTGTCTGGCTTCAGGGTCTTCAGAGGGTCAATGCGAGGCGAGGTCGGCCTGTGGCCAGCCTACTTGGAGCTTCATGGGTAGTTATAAGTGGGGTTATAAGTCCCCGAACATGGGTTATAAGTATAGTTACGCTACTCAAGTAGGGCCTAGATACTGTACCCGCCGTGACATGTGTTTCTTTCATGCCGTTCGCGGGACTGCCATACGGTATATTGCTTTATATAGGAATATAGGATTGCACACAAAGCGAATCTCGTATTCGATCCACAAGAAAGACGTTTTCTGGAGTTCTGTTTCAAGACACGTTCTAGTTGATGTCAAATGCATAGTAATGTCAGGCTCCATGCTTTCATACGCGCAGCAGATGTTTGATGTGAGTCACAGCCTGAGTGAGCTTGCGTTCCGGGGGTGGGCCGGTAGTGGACAGACTTCCTCAGTTCAGAGGTGTTGGAATTATTTCCCCCGCCATCTTCGGTGCCTGATTGCGCGGTCAGCTTCTCAACAGAACCCTCCTGCCCAGAGAACCCAATACCCCTTAATTAAGGAATATACCTTAAATCATAATATTAGGGCTCCCATAATTTAAGGTATATTCCCTAATTAAGGGGTATTGGGTTCGCTGGGTGTTGAGCAGTATCCAGTCTGCCCGACAGCGGCTAAACTATGCTCCCTGGACCTTCGCGGCACCAGGCTCGGAGGACGTCGTCAAGCGTCTGAAGCTTGCTCTCGTGCCTTTCCAGGCACCTGAGCATCTCCGTGTTGTCTCCACTTACTGTAGCTGAAGCACATGTGGGGAGAAGCAAACGTCCCTAGGGCAGTGAAACCGTTCGTACTTGCAAAGTTATTCAAAGATCTTTGTGTCTGAAGAGTGCCTGAGGGTGACATGAAGTATTGATGGCATGCTTAAGGGCTCAAGAAGGTGGGTAGAGCTTCGTGATCAGTTTAGCAAGTTTAGCTGTCACCACTTGACACTGTTTGTGTGTGTTTTTTTTGTGGCATGGCTTTTTCTCGGGCGAGGAGGTTCCCGCCGCCTCCGCGGCATGGCGGTCCAGGGCCGGGTTCTTACAAACTCGAGTCCCAGCCGCTGAGGTGGCGCCGAAGCCCCGAGTGGCTTATTGGGCGGCCCAAGGAAAGCCGGCTGCGCAAGAAGCCGGTGCCGACAAAGCTGCAGGCAAATGGTCTCAACCCAACCTGGTTGGGTTGAGACCATTTGCCTGCAGCTTTGTCGGCCATGCAAGGCAAGCGCCCAAGCTGCTCGGCACCGGCAATTTTTGTGAAGTGTGGCTTGTGGATGGCAGTGCTCACAAGACGAGGAAATGTGGGGACCAAGTCCTAGTTGAGGAACGGATTTTAAAGAA